GTTGTAATGAAATGCTTCTTCTAAGTATGTGGTTATTAAATAATTTAAAATTTTTATACCTCTTATAAGTTTATAAATGTGTGTTTAATAACCAAAACAGATTTATTTCCTGATGTATAAGTGTTTCTCATATCTGCAGAAGTTTTATTTAGCCAGTTATAACATGATCATTTAAAAGACTTTAACTAGAACAGATAAATGGTTCGTGACAAGGATTCATGAATAGGCGGCAAGACTTCTAGCACCTGAGCCACATCCCCATCTACCAAAATTTTAACTCTGCGGTTCATTCCTGTAAGAAACATGTTAAACAGTTTCAATCAGATCCCTTGAAGGGGTGGAGACTAGGCTTTCTGTGTATTAAAGATAATAGACACGATAAGGACAGGTTTGAATATTTCCTGGACTGGAAATCTTGCATGAAGAAATGCCCAGAAGTATGAGCCAATTTTGCTCTCAGCTGCTTCCAAAAAATAACCCTAGGAGTTGAGCCAGACTAAGTAATTTTTCCCAGTTTTCTAAGACAGGCAGAGCACTGTTCCCTCCCAGACCAGTGTACTTTCAGTCTCTGAATTTTAGGAGTTGTAATTATGATTATGAATGTAAAATGTTAGGTGTTAGAAATATCTAACACATTGTATGATACCCCTGCAGCACAGGAGAAAACTGGCAGAGCAAATCCTGTTTATATGTGGGGAAAGGAAAAGATGTGCTTGATCTGAACTTTGAAAACCATCAACCATCATTTTAAATTTACTGTTTTTCCTTCAAAAAAAGTAAAGACACAATCAAGAAAACATTATGAAGATACGGGAAAAGCATCAACTTCTAGCACTGTTAGGAAGCTGCACATACCCAGCTGTGAATAGTCCCAGACTCCTCAGGAGCCCCCAACAGCAACCTCCAGGAGACTTTAGCCTCTTCATGCATGCCTCTCACGAAACAGTGCCCAACACTTTGAAGACATCTCAGGGACCTTCAATAACGTCTTCTTTCCTTTACTAGTCTCCTCAGGTTCCTCCAGCAACACTGTCCCTGGGTATCCAGGTCGGACAGGTGCCTCCAGTGAAAGCATCCAGTATTCTCCCAGCTCCTCCTGTGCCTCCATCAACAACTTCATGGCTGTTTCCAACAGTATCCAATGGGCTCCAAACTTTTCAAAGAATTCCATGTGCAGTACCCAGCAACTTGTCTCCTTTGGTGACTACAGTCACGTCACTCATGGTAATAATTTCAGCTTCTCATATTATATATATAAGGATTAGCACAACTCCTTGTTATATGTACTTATAGATCTATAGATGAAGATGTACAAATAGATACACATTTGCGTATATCTTTTTATTTAGTAAGCACTCATTTTTATTGTATATAGTTATTGGTCCTTCCCTAAATTCAATTTTTAGACACATTTTACATTCTATCCAATAAGAAAATGTGTGATTCAGAGAGCATTTGATCATCCCTATGCAGCAAGGCATATAATGAGACATTTGCTTATTTAAGACTACATTTTTTTTTTGGCTGCCATCTTTCCCCTCAATACACCATGAAAGTGTCATGTCAGAATTTAACAGAATGCAGAAACACAGAGTCAGTAAGACTCTGTCTCAAATTATCTTTCTTTCATTTTGAATTGCAGCAATAACATCATCTTACAAACTTTAATAAAAAATAAATGCTTATGCTTAATAATTAAATTTTATCTATCTGGAATCTCCTTATCAAATGCAGCATTTCAGCATGCAATCCTTTTATAATTTTATCTTCTGATATATATTTTCAAAGTATCATGTTTTTCTTCCATACAAGGTCACATTATAAATGTTTTCTAGGGGCTGGAGAGCTGGTTCAGCTGCTAAAAGCACTGACTACTCTTGCAGAGGACCTAAGTTGGATTCCCAGCACCCACATGGTGGCTGAAAACCCTCCACTACTCTAGTTGCAGGGGATTCGGTTGCCCTCTTCTGATGTCTGTGGATATTTCAGAACATGGGTGCACTTACACTCATGAAGGCATTACACTCATACACATAAAATAAAAGTAATACATAAAATATTTAAATATTTTCTATAGTTTAGGTTTAAAAAATAATTTAACGTTTAATGAAATGATGTAAACAAGCAATATGGATTTAAATTATCTTGCTATTTATGAAAAATGAGTAATTAGTTCATACATTATAAAGGTAATCCTATATGATATGGCAGTAAGTTGTTTCCAGTCTTTTCTATACCTGCATCAAATAAAGAGAACACCTGTTTTCTGAGTCTTCTTTCTCAAGGCCACAAAATTATTTAAGTCCTATGTACTTTGTATCAGGGTGCTGTTTTCCTATTGTGGGTTACTGCTTACATTATGTTATGAATATATTTCCTATGTAAGAAAGCACTGGGCCTCATTGATGAGAAGTCAGCATTCAATCCACCACCCAGAGTTCAGATCACAGTGATTGTTGCTGGTTCACCTCTACTGAGGTTTTCCAGGACTGACATCTTACATTCTCAACCATTGTCACCTCCATTTCAGAGTGCTCTCTTGAAACTTGAAATAGAGTGGGTATTATGGAGGCAGACAACAAAATAGAGTTCCTACACACATCTTTTTCAGTTCCAGGATTCTATTCAGTGCCTGCTATTATAGAAAGCAAAGAGCCTATAGCCTGAACCCATTCAGATTAGCAAAGTCCTTTGGGTTCCCTTTGAGGCTGCCTCAATATAGCTAATCCTTTTGCAAGACAGCTCTGACTTTTTATAAAAGATTTTGTAATTTGAGTTTTCAAAATATTCACAGGTAGATTTGACTATAGTGCATGAGGCCTTGAGTTCATTCCCAGAAACCATAAAAAATAAATAGAGCCCCTTTAACTACTATTGCCACCAGAGTTCTCTTGGGGTCTCTTGCACAGTCAGACAAACCATATATTTTTATGTGTATTTATTATAGTTTATGCCCTTGAGTAGGAAGGGGATAAATGGGGGAACTTACACAGAGACAAGCCCTCTTGCACTGGCTCAGAGCCTGCCCCTTCAGGTGCCCTCGGCCTGCCCCTACTCTCCAGTAGACTTTCACCCACCCAGGGCCTGCAGTCTCCTCCCAGGTCAGTAAAAGCCCCTTCTCCTGTCTGTTGCTGTGCTGCTTTTTTTTTGTTTTTTTTTTTTTTTTTTTTTTTTTTTTTCTGTCGCTTCTGTCCCAAGATGGTGCAGAAAGACTCCTCCCCAGTCAATTATCTGCAGCAGGCTCCACCCCTTGGAGGAATTCGGCACCTGGGAGACAACTATATATGATTAGAAGCACCTGAAATTACTACTTAAATCTCCATTTCTTCCATTAGCTAAGTTATAGCATTCTAGCTATCATTTAGGCTTTCTTTCCCCAATAAAGGTGATCCCTATGATCTGATTTAACTTTGCCTGTTTTTACTGTGTGCAGTCTATGTAGAAACCATGGAGGAGAAATATGCCAACCAATTCATCTGAGGAAGATGGTTTCCACCAGAGTCCCAAACAAGCAATAGTCTTAAAAGTAGATATGATATGATAGCAGAGAAACAGATGCCCAATGCTACTGTGGCTACTGAGACAGAACTCCTTAGAGTTAAGGTGTTTGACATAGTCCTGAGGAAGAAGATACTTAAATTATTACAATATCTAAAGTAAGAAGGAAATTTTCTATTGTCTTAAGGCTAAGGAGGGAGTTGTCTTGCTTCTTGCATGTTTATCACAAGATAAAAAGAGATCCCATAAGCTGATTTTACCATAAAATCTTTATATCACAATATAAGTAACAATAACTTCTGCTGGTAATGTTACATTTTTTTAGCTGTTCTCACGGGCATAATAGATTTCAAAGATAGAGCTGTTTTATCTTCCTCTTGGTCACTAAATAAGGGGGACAGCTTGTCTCATGACCTTTCAGAGGACATTTGAGGGTAAGAAGCTTGGGTCTGGAGTAGGAAGGCCAAATCCCAAATCTAAGACCTGCTTCTCCACAGAGTTCAAACAGTACATGATAATGTACTAATATAATTTGAAGAAGGCATTTGCTTCTTTTATAGTTGAATCTACTCGGTCTTCCATTGGGAACTGTAAGTAATAAAACTCAGAACAATTGTATTGAAGGGTCACTCTTTGATATCTCTAAATTTTTATAACTTCATGATACTTGGCAGTTAGCATTCATAATCAAGAAAAAGCAAATCAAAAAAAGTTTCTGACTTTACAAGCACCTGAATTAAGTTTGTCACTGGCTATGTTTGGGAAGACAAGATGTTTCAAGACTTGTAGCCACAATTAGTTAGCTTGAGTCTGTAAATGGAAGGAAACTAAAGTATCCTCTCTCCTATAATGATATTTTTCATTGGAGGCCATTTTTATTCTCCATTTAAACCTCATTCCAGTCTTCAATGCAAAATATAGAGATCTTGGTCAAACAGTTATGGGCTAGGGGGGTCTTGTTACCCCGGATTAAATTTCCATTGTCTTGCCCTCCAGAGATTTACGTGTCTCCCGTTGTGTACAACCATGAGAAGACCTTGCCCAATGTAACTGCTAAATTTCAATTCAAGACCTGAATTTTCCTTCATCTCATCCTTCTTTTCCACACTGTGGCATTACTAGTCCAGTGTTACAATTACCTGAAAAGGAAAGCCTGACTCTGAAATTAAGTTTTTTAAGAGTATACCCGAATTCAGAAAACACTCATTTCCCTAAATATCTCTTGGAACCATCTGTCTCCTGGGACCGTACTTCTGAGTTAGGCCTCACCCATATTTTTATTCAAATTGGTTTCTCCAGCTTCATTAGGGAAGTACAATTTCAGATCCACCCTTTTCTTAACAGACCATCCTGCCTTCTCATTTCTAGTTCTAGAATATCTCATTCACCCAATCTCAAGTTTCCTTTCCAATCGGGAGTACAGTTTTCCAGCAGTTTGGTATGATAAGTCTCAAGCATATCCACATTCACTCACTTCTTTTGGGGTGGGGTACCAAATTGAGTCTCCTAGGAAATTACCCAGTCACAAGACACATGTTCATTGAGTTTGCCAATGTTAATTAAAAGTCATTAGTCCAGATTATGTCCTTTTTATAAAAGTCATTCCTATGGAGAGCTATCTTCTGTCACTTAAAGGTCACAAAATAGAAAGGTGAAGAAGTGGAGTAGGGTACTGAGGAAAGCAAAGAAATTTGGGGAGGTCCTAGAAAAGTGGCAAGCATACACCAAGGCAAATGAAAGGGGTGAGCCGCAATTACCATTCCATGTTCGGCCTTCTCACATCATGTTGCTTTCACCTTGAACTTGATGAGATCTTTTTGAAATCTCCGCATCAGTATGGCATTAGTAACACATTAAAAATCTCATGATTCTCTTTTTTTCCTGAGGACTCATTGAAGAAAAAAGATTAATTATTATTATTATTACTATTGCTCATAAAAAGAAAATACATTACCAATATTCATTCTCTTGAGTTCTCTCTGTATCTGTCTCCTTAAATCTCTCTCTTATTTGGGTTTAATATTTTATTTATTACTTTTATTTACGTGTGCATTGCCTGCATGTGTGTCAGTGCACCTTTGTTGTGCAATTCCTGCAGAGGTCAGAGGAATGAAGGCGTCTGATCCCCTGGGACTGGAGTTGTAGATGGTTGTTAGCTACCATATGGGTGCTGGTAATTGAGCCCAGGTCCTCTGCAAGAGCAGTCAGTGCTCTTAGCCCCTGAGCCATCTCCCTAGCCCCTAATCTCTCCCTTCTTTACAGCCCCGCTTCCCTTCTCTTTCCTTGTATTCATACTTGAAAAAAATATAATGAGTCAGTCAAATAAAAGCAAAAACAAAGTACTTTTTAATTAAATAAAACCTTATAGCTCAGATATTGTAAAGGTTTGTTTCTGTATTCTGTCAGGTGTTTTTCTTTAAAACTATATAGTATGTTTTTTCAGCATAACAGTACAGAATCCTACAATAGCTATTATGTTATTATTTGTTTTCCCATTTAACAGACCAGGACTATCTTTCCAAGTCCTTATGCTAAAATATACACAGCACTTGGCAGGCAGAGACAGGTGGATTTCTGTGACATCAAGGCTGGCCTGGTCTGCTGTAAGATCCAGGCCAGCTGGGGCAACAGAGAGAGCCAGACTCAACAAGACCAAATAAATGTTCATAATTATTTAATGGCTACATAAGTAGTTCTTATTTTATTCTTTTAATTTTTTGGTTTAATTTTATGTGTATGACTATTAGCCTACATATATTTGTATGTATACCACATCCTTTCAGTGCCAATGGAATCCAGAAGAGGCCATTGGATCTCCTGGAACTGGAGTTACACATGGTTCTGAACTGCCATGTAGGTTCTAGCAAAGAAACCCAGGTCCTATACTCTTAACTGCTGAGCCATCCCTCTATCTCCAGTATTTTTATATATGAGTTGCTATCACTAACTATATTTCTTGTTGGTTGGAAAGTGTTTTTGTATTATGCTAATTGGTTACACTGATTAAAAAAATCAGACCATGTAAAGTTCAGTCACTTACATGTCAGATTATTTCAATCACCTTGGCTCTATGGAGACAGCAAGTCTACCTCCATATACTCAAATCTGTGAAATACATAGCTTCCATTGCCTCACACACTCTTTCTTCAAGATTAGTAAACATTCTCTCCAATAAGTATACTGATGAAATCCACTGAACCCAAAACTGTGAAGAAAAAAAGATTAGATGCACATCAACGTCTCTGGTTTTCCAGAGCACTGGCTTTGCTGGCCACTGTCTATCCATTTTTAAGGACATGGCTCTGGCAAAAGCAACTCTACCCGAGTCTGTGTAAAAGTGATGATTGTGAGCGAGATTGTGCCTTTCTGATCACTTATATCATGTTATTATATCTTGTTATTATTTCTTGGTGGTTTGAACCCTCAAAATGGCCATGGACATTCCAGTGGTAACCAAAGCATTTGGCATCTCTGTGGTTTGTGATTGTTGTTATTCTCTGCTTTCAACAATATTTCATTCTTGCTCTTCTATTTTCTTTGGTCATTTAAGTGAGTAAGGGATATATTTAATTTTATAATTACATTGTGATAATTCATAAAAATGTTCTCATCACCTTTCCCTCTATGTTCACGCTAAGCTTCATACCTTGTGTCAGCAAGATGACTCTGCTTTTCACTAACGGTTTTCAAACTTTTGTAGCTAGGGTCCATTGCTTTGACTCATTCATCTTTCATTTCCATCAAGGAATCCCTCTCTAATTTAGGCCTGGTTATACTCATTCCTGAAAATTATTAGGAACAATGTTGAGATGCAGATTTACCATATGGGGAATTGAATTTGCATTCTCTACTAAACTTCTGTGTTCATTTTTCTGTGTCTGCTCAACCCAGAATCAGAGGCCACCGGTCCAAACTCAAGTGGGTACCAGAATCACTGCTCTCCAAAGGAACTCGATTACAGTGAAGGTACTGAAAGCAACAGAGGTATTTGAATATGAGTCTTCAGGATGGGGGACAAACAAGATGTTCCATGCTACAGTGGCTACAGAAAGACAGTTTTTCCATGTGAAGGTTTTCAATATCAACCTGAAAGAGATGTTCTCAAAAAACAATGTCATTATCATCTCCAACTACATTGAATGCAAAGGAATCTTAGAGATAAATGAAGCATCCTGTGTGCTTCAAGCTGGTCCTGATCAAAAGATTGAAGTTCCAAACCACGTTATCAGAAGAGCAAATGGAACTCCCAAGATTGATGATCTTCTAAAGCTTGCTCCTGGGACAATGGTATATGGGTTGTTTCAGTTACACAAGGTGATGCCTGAAAACTATTTGTTCTTTTTCTCCACCAACACCTTTAATGAAATATCTTAACTTCCCAGTCTCTGCTTAATGACAATATTGTAATCCAGGACTCTTGGGGGGGGGGGCGGGGAGAGGGAATCTTCCTACACAGTAGGAGATAGAAACAGTTGACCTTCTAACATTCTACTTCATAAGTTACCTCCAAGACTGCTGCTTGAAAGAGATTCACCAAGAAAATTCATTTTACTATTTATAAATATCTAACCTCAGCCACAATAAGGAAGAACAGTATAGAGCACTGATCAGTACTATCACACTAGCAGACTCATTTCTCTAAAGTCAGCTGAAACTGTGCAATGCCTATTTTTTTCTTCGTTTCCTTCTAAATAATTTGTTTCCCTAGATTGTCTTGACAAGGTTGAATAATGGTTGGAATGGATTGGCTGGTATCCTTCTAAATACAAAAGCATTGAATAGTGTGAAACTGCTATTGCTTTAGTTAATAAATCTAACTATTCAGTGTTGACATTTATATTTTATTCATTTAATTAATTATGAAGAATTTAATTAACAACTTTGACTTACTAAATGGAATGTTATTTGAAAGACAAGTGAATCCAATCTTCTTTATTTACAAAAGAAAAATCAATCCAATTCACAGTGTTAGGATGCCTCATCCAATCAAGAACAAACTGAAAAACTTTGATAAACTAACATAACACTTTATGTGATTGATGGCTTTATTACACAGTATTTCATCTTCGAAAAAAAGCTTTAATTTCACATCCATTACTTTATAGCACACTCTTCAAGACACTCTGCTTATAAGTACAATTGTAAAACTGATGAGCAGTGGCTTTAGTGAAATTCTGCAGGGTGAGTTTTGGAACGTTGCCTAACCAGGATGTGTTATTAGAAAAAGGTAAGTCAATGAGGAAGGATAATCATTAGTGAGTTACTAGAACATTAATTGTTTACAGATTCTCGCTAAGCTATTAAACAAATAGTGCCAGCAAATGTCCATTCATCTCATGAGGAGGAGAGCCTAAGATGGCAGAGAAAAGTTTTGATTCCTCAGGTACATTACAGAGAATCAAGGCTGTTGAAGAGCAGGAAGCAGTAGAAAACGGGAAGAACACTCAGTGTCCCCACAGTGAACTCCTAAGTCAAGAAAGTAAGATTAGAATGATAAAAGAAAGTTCTCAATGAAGGTTTCTCTGAGGCTGTGTGACTGGGATAGGTTTCTTATATTTTTATAATTTTGTCCAAATATTGTTTTTTTTGAATGTACAATATCTGATTTTAACAAAGTGAATGTTAATTGTA